TGCTGTAGCTTCTGGCTGGTTATGCGATTCAGCTGTGTGGCAATCCTGAAGCGACCACATGTTATCCAGGAATATGGTATCAGTGTAACGTGGATAGTCATGTTTGATCCTGTGATGTCACTGAGAGCAAACGAAGTTCATTCTCTTGCTGGTCTAATTCTATGTGGGAAGTGGAGGTGAAATGGGTTCCCATGCAAGGGCAGCCAGAGCAGTTCCAATCATTTGCTGCTTTGCCTATCAGTCCCTGCACATTGTACGAAGATGACATGTCTGCTCACCTGCCCTTCACAGCGTGCCCATTTGCTTGTTTGCTAGATTGATAGCCTGCTTTTTTCTTACAACAAACTCAAAGCAGCTTTTATCATTCTTGTCCTCCTGCTCTCACGCTTATCCTGACACGAACAAGCCTGTGCTTGGGCTGAGAGACTTTGTCTGGTCCAAAGCCACCCATTTGGCTCCATGGCCAAACAGGGACTAATGTCAGATTAGTCCCGTGCTCTTAACCACTACCTGACACTAGTTCTCAATATCTATATATTTTGTCATCTCCCAAAATATCACCTAAAGGGAAGATGCTTTTTAGGGAGTCAGAAATGTCCTTTGCCCCCTGGTTTGAAGCATCACTGGTTGGATGTTTAGCACAATCCTATCATGCTATTAGCAATCTTAGTTTATTCACTGTTGGCTTGATCATGTGGCAGCTTCAGCCAGAATGTGGAAATTAAAACAGTGGAACAAAAAATGACAGGTAGCAGCTTGTGTTTATGGTGGCTTCATATGCAGGCTTAAACACATATGTACGAAATCCAGGAAACCTAAAGCAATAATACTGTCTGTACTACATAAAATAATAGAGGTCTTCAATTATGGGAAGGTATTAGGTGATGCCCACCTCCTCCTCCTCTTTATTTCAGAAATACTGAGTAAAATCCGGTGAAAGTTTTCTGCTTACAGGACTGTTTCCATCCATACAATTGTGACAGTTCCACCTTATTTCTGTTTCTGCTTTCTATTACTCCTTTGTGCCCGCAAATTCTTCATGGGATTGGGAGCCCCTCTGGGGTGAATTTTCAGGGGTTATTACAGTAACACACATTCAATATAACGTTTCTAACATTTCAGAGATTTGACCCCTTTCAATCACCAGGATAGTACACAGCCAAAACGAATATTTCTGCCCACCAAGTGAGGAAGTGCCGAAAGAGAAATGGTTTCATTTTGCTAAGGCTTATCCTGTTTTGGAACATAAACCTCCTCACTGTATTTCGTCTGTCAGAGTGGAAAGCTGCAGCTGATCGTTTGAAGACTGCACCTAATATCTTGATAAAATTACGGAAGGACCTTCACTTGAGTTCCACACTCTGTAAGCCTCCTGAGTGGGAGACATGGAAGAGAGGGGTAGATGGGGAGGTTCGTTTGCTTCCCAGTAAGCTCTGGGTTAGCCTCCAGTTTCTAATACTGAAAGCAGTGGGGCCCTTAGCAAAAGTTTTCCATTAGGCGCTGTAGATACGCATGTGCAGGAGTCAGTGGGTTCAGAAGGGCATCATGAAGGAAGGGCTGCTGCCAGTGCTGCTCCCATGGAGGACGAGAGGATCAAAAAGGATTTACCTGGCGGGGCTGGTGTGTATTGGGTGGGTCTCTGTATTGGGCTCTGCTGGGGGACAGACAGGAGCCCTGCTTTGTAGCATAGGGGCTGCCTGTGAGAGCTTCTGTACAGTGCCTTGCAGAAGTATCCACACACAGCCTCAGCATGTCCATATTGTGTTGCTCTACAGTCTGGAACTGAAGAGGGTTTAATAGGCATAGATACCGCTTGATCTATGGAAGATACTCAACAACTGTGAAGATGCAAAATATTTTTATTATGGCAAAAAAGTTAAGTAAAAACAAATTGGCACGTCTTGATTTCATAAGTATTCACCCTCTTTGCTCTGGCATACCTAAATAAGCTCTGGTGCAGCCCAGTGCCTCCAGAAGTCACACACTGGAAGTGGTTGATTGGAGCCAATTTGTGTGCAATTTTATTGCTGCATGATCTTGGATTAAATACAGCTATTTCCAGAGTTTGTTGGGGAGCATATCAAAACAAACAACATTGCAAAGACCAAAGAGCTACTAAAACAACTCCAGGATAAAGTTGTAGAGAATCATCATCAATCAGTGTTGAGTTATTTAAAAAGAAAAAGATGCCAAACTATGAACATGTTCCGAAGGACTGTTGAATGCAACATTACAAAACTGAGAGAAAGGACCTTGCCTAGAGATGTTCGTCTGCCAGAACTCAGTGTCCAGGTAAGGAGAGCCTTACTCGGAGTAGTACCCAAGAGACGACTGGTAACTCTGAAAGAGTTGGAGAAAGGCTGCTGAAATGGGCAAAACTGTTGGCTGTTCCATAAAGCTTATGGCTGTTCCATAAAGCTATTCTTTATGGAAGAGTGGTGAGAAGAAAGCCATTGCAGAAACAAACATGGGGGAAAGGGGGGAGACCAAAGCCTACAGTGCTGATTGCCCTGAGAACACCCTGCTCATGATGCAGGTGGCAGCATCACGCTGTGGCGGTGTTTTTCCTTGGCAGGGACTGGGAAACCAGTCAGGGTTGAGAGCATTATGGATGGAGCCAAATACAGGACAATTCTAGAGGAAAACCTGGTTCAGCTTCCAAGAGACTAGATACTGGGGCAGAGATGCACCTTCCATTAGGACGTGACCTTAAGCACACAGCCAAAGTAATAGTAGAGTGATTTGATGTCCTGGAATGGCCCAGTCAAAGCCTTAGAGCACAATCTGAGAATCTGTGGCAAGACTTGAGAATTGCTGCTCAGCAGCAGTCTGGAGTAGGAAGACTGGATCCAGATTGTGGGATCCAGATGCTCACACTTTCAAGAAGATTCACAGCTGTAAAGGTGTTTCTACTAACTGGCCAGCATGTGCCAGTTTGGTTTTGTGCCACAGTAAAACTTTGCACCTTCACTGTGTTGTGTATCCAGTGTCCATCAGCAGTAACCATGTCAAGTCTTTTTCAAATCCAGTTATTTGAAATTAACAGAATGAGGAAATTCAAAAGGAGGGTGACAACTTCTGCAAGGTGCTTGGTATAAGATCGAAGTTTCTGGCAGCCTAAGTTTCCTAAAGCTTTTGTCTGGATGGCTAGTTGTTGCTTTTTAAAAATCACCTTAATCAAGAAAATTTGTTGCAGATAATAGTGCCACCTAGCCTATTTAATAGGGGAAAGGCCAGTATTAGTTGATTTTTGTTTCTTGGCTTGAGTGCTCAGTTGCTGAAACATAAGACACAAACTTATATAATAAATGGACTTTATTTAATATAAAAATTAAAGATTTAAACTCATTCAGGGTTTGTGTGCATGAGTTATGTGTTAATGCTTCCTGATATATAGATATATAGGGAGGAAGGAAGGGAGGGAGGGGGACAGCGAGAGATCAATCTGGGAGTTTTTTCTCCTGTTAAACAGGAGTAGAAGCTTGCGGTTAACAAACTTAGAGCAGTATATGCACCTTCAAAAATTTTTTTTGATTAGAAATGCACGCTGAAAATGAGAGCTTTATTAACATGAGTTCAGCAATGTATACCCAATTCAGAAAGGTAAGTGTTGGGGGTCCATTTTGGCCATCCCCCCTCCTCTGTCTCTCCTCCTTTGCATTTCTCCCTTTCCTTTGGAGGCCTCTTCTGTGGAAGCCATTGTTAGAAAGAAAGTGGAAGTAACCCTTTCCTCCTTTGTATGAAAACAATAGGCAGTGGTGGCGGGCAGGAAGGAAAGGACCAATGCTGAGGAAGTTACAGTTGCTGCTGGCAGGACGTGGGAAGGCAGTCTGAAGGCCAACACTGACAAGATGTTTGGCATTCATATGCTGACCTCATGAAGAGGTCCTTGGAGAAAACTTAGACACATTGGGTTGGAGCAGTTGTGCAGATTTTCTGAGGTTTTATGAGCAGGATTGGAGATTGCAATTGGACCTTTACCATGAATATGTCTACAGAACAGTTATGATGTATAAGGCCAGCTTGGATGTACCTTTTAAAAACAATTGCACACAGAAGGAACCTTTTCAAAATCCTCATGTGGACTCTAAACATTTATTCTGACTTGATCCCTGTATCATGGGATGTTGATTTTAGCAAACCCAGCATTGACTTAACTGATAGGGTATTTTATATAATGACTGGAGAAAAAAATCCTTAAAAGTTACCTGTGACCTCTAATGATTGAATATTCTGACTTCATGATTTCAGGAAAACATGTACAGGTGGGTTGACACAAATGATGAGAGAGAATTCTGTTTGGATAATACTGGCTCAGCTAGTTAACAGGGCATTGATTAGAAATGCAGTCACAATTTAGGCTCCTTGGAGGATTCTAGTACCTGCTGTAGTGCTTGGAGAACTTGTTAGTTTATGGATCCAATTGGAAGCCCGCAATAGGAAATGAGTGTCATTTATTGTGTCATTTATAATGTGTACCTATAATGCACGATCAGGTTGGAGGCAAAATATTCACCTTGCTTCTGGACCATGGCTCTTTGTTAAAGGCAACTTTTCTGTGTAACAGTCTGTTTGGTAGATGGTTTTAGTTTGGTTTTGAGAGAAGTGTGCACTTTTAACATTGTTGTGTAAACAGTGTCTTCCCTTAAAGTGAAGACTTCACTTTAAGGGAAGACACTGTTAATAACAGATATTTCAGCTGGTTTTAGTTCAACAGTATTAACTTAATCATTAAAGTGAATTTATACATGCACCCTGGGAGTAGATCCTGCTGAAAACAATATGACTGCCCTACAAATGGATATGCATTGGATCTTGATAGGATATCCAGGGGAACAACTGTGGAGGATTCTAGAACTAGGGAGCAACTTTGTGCCAGTTTTCTTGGATCTTCCATCCCATTGGAGCTTGCTGCCCAGTTAGTGTGCTTAAGATTACAGTCTTACTATTAGATATGTGGAGAATGATCATTTCTGCTGTGCTTGCTTGGTTTATTTCAGGTTACAAGACCTCATATTTTGGGGTCCTGAAGCAGATGGCTTTGGAGCTGGAAAAGTCTCCTTTTGATGCTGCATTAAGTTTGAAGGCAAAAAACTGTGGTCGATGGAATTACACCAAGCTTGAGATGAACTACTCTGCTTTGGTTAACCAGACTCACCAGCCCTCGGAGGTGGAAAAGGAAGCCCCTTTGCTCAGAGGAACTGAAGATGAAGAGCCCAGAGGTGTAGAGGAAGTTTGTCATTCAGCGCCTAGCGTTTCCAAGAAGAGTGGAAAACATTATGAAATGCCTTTTATGCCTTCTGGCAGGTTTTGCAAGGTAAAAGCAAACACAACATATTTGGAGAGACAGCCTCTTGGTGGCAAGGCTAATGACAGCAGTGATGGCCCTTATCATTTCAGCAGGGGTGGCTTGCATCCCGAAGAACAGCAGGTGAGAGCACTTTAAATAGCCATACTTGGGCACTACTGCTAAAGCACTCCCATGGAGGGAGGGTTTTGCACTTTGTAACATTGGTACATGTAGTCAGGGTAGAAATGCAGGGGTGATAGTCAGTGGGGAGGATCAGGTAGATTGAACCTACAGTCTTAGGAAATGTCACGGGGAGTAAGCCCCATTGAACACCATGAGGCTTCTGACTTAAGAGCACAGTAGGATTGTGCTGCGAATCACGAAAGTTAGTGCAGGTTTGCTATGATTTGCCTGTGATGTATAGCTGAATGCTCAAAGGGGCCTAATGCTCATGGATTCACCACCTTTGGCACAAGCATGTAAATCAGCCTTCCTCAGGCTAGTGCCCTCCAGATTCCATTACTAGAGAAATGCCTTTTGTAATAAAATAAATGTGAACAGTACTTCAGATGCATCTACAGCAGCATTTAACCTTGTGAATGTGGCCTTAAGCACAAGCCAACTAAGCAGGCCTTACTTGAACTGATAGGAACACCATTAGCTGGCCTATGCTTTCTTGTAAGATCAATAAGGCTAGTCTTCTTCCCTGCTTTCTTCTTTTCAAATTGGCTTGCACAGATGAACGCAGTCAAGCGCTCCAATTCTGCAGAGCTGCTTCCCGGTTGGCTGGAAGTTCCTGAAGTCCTCCCAGTGAAAGCTGTGGACTCCGCCTTTTACAGCCCTTCTGCTGGGACCCATCGCAGCCATGATGCCGGCTGCAGGAGCCACATGGCCTTTGCCCCTTATTCGTCCACCCCAAAACATTTGTCATATAAAAGAGACCCTTATTTCAATGCTGGACTGCCTGCATTCACTAGGACTGACATTTCTTCACAACCTCCAGAGGACTCTGACTTGGAACAGCAGGAAATGACAGGATCCAAGAGCTTCTCAACTGGTGGGGCTCTTTTATTGCCTGAAACATCTGCTCCATGGTATCGGCACAGTCTGTCTGATCTGGAAGACACTCCCATGGTAGGCACCCGCAAACCAATGTCTGTGGATTACTGTTCCCTGCTGGGGCAAGTAAGAAAAATGTCCTCCTTCCAGGCAGATTACTGGGCATGCGCAATTCCAGATTCCTTGCCACCATCGCCAGACCGTCGGTCCCCTCATTGGGACCCAAATAAAGAATATGAGGACTTGCTTGATTATACCTACCCTCTGAGGCCAAAATACAAGCTTGCAAAGAACCCCAAAGACTCCACTGTCCATGATTCTGGGGTTGAACTTGATACCCTTTCCATTTCTCCTGAGAGCACCTTGAAATCTGGGAGTGTGCAAGACCAAGAACAGCCAGCTGTGGGGCTCCAGAGTGTACAGCGGTTTTCAACTCCATGGCTGAAAAGATCTGAGCGCTTGGCTCCAGCTTCTCACTACCGACTTACACCTGTTGGAAAAGTCTCTATTGCAGATGCCGGTCACTCTGCCTGCAGGATTGGCATCTCCAGAGAAATGGCGGAGGGGTTGTCTCCTCAGTGCACTGGGCCTGCTCCATCCAGTTCTGCCAACATAGGCCAAGGGGGCTGGAGCTCCAGGGGACATGACTGCCTTCAAAAGAGGGAGGCCACTGCTAGCAACTTCATACCCTCTACACAGGTGCTGCCCTTAAAGAAGGCATGTTCTAGTGATGAGGAGTATCTCTCATTACCCCCCAGACTCAAGGAGCTGGAGACATTGGCTCAGCAGTTGACTGACCTTTCTTTGACCGAGAGGAAATCTGAAGGTGACCATGTCCATGATGACTTACCATGCATCAGTATGACTGGAGAGCATCAGGCTGAGGGTGGCGGTAAGGAGAGCCCCTGGGAACTGCCTTGTGACCCTTGCCCTACCTCCAGCCCCCAAGCACATGGTAAACAGGGCCTTCCGAGGAATCAAGACTGCAGGGACCGGGAACATGTGCTCCGAGGGACTGCCTGCCTTGACTTCCTTGAAGCAAGATGCTTGGAGTTCCTGGAGGGTGGGAGCCAACCTAATGAGCAAGAGAAGGACCATTGCACAGACTCGCTTGCACAGCATATTAAGGTAAATGTTTAAGAATTCAAATCTGAATCTGGACAGTTCATACAGCTAATGCTATGATACTTAGGGTGAGGGGCACTCCGGGAAGGTAAGTTTTGCTGCAGCCCAAATCAGGTATACTTGCAAGTAGTTTCAACAGGGCTTATTCCCAAGTAAGTGTGCATGGAACCACAACCTTGGTCATTTTGAAGGACTGATCTTGCTGATCTCAAATTTTGTCATTGGGCTAACCCATGCAGAATATGACAGCATCCAAGATGCTCATCCATCATAGTTTAGTTTATCTGTTTGACCAAATGATATTTATGTAGTAAATACTTCAACTTTTTAAAGTTTTCTTTGTTACATTTATAACCTGCCTTTCCTCCAAGGTGGAATTTGCAGTTGTCTCCCTCTACCCTTACCCCAGGCCTCAATTTGATAGTTGGAGTACATATTAGTGTTTGGATTAGTTTATCAATCATATCAGGTGCTATGGTATAGGGTTTCTTCATTTAAGTTGATAAATGGAATAGTTGTTCTCTCTATATTAAATGTTTGTGTGTTCTACTTCATCAATTGAGAATAACACAGAAAGTAGTAGTAATATTGATGCTGTTCATAACCTAAAACTGAGTTCCAACATAAAGGTGCGTTATGGTTATTTGGGTACAGACCTATTGAATGGTTAAGAGAAATTTATTTTATTCCAATAAATAAGGCTTAAATAAATTCAGCTTTGTGGAATTCTGGCAAGCAGTCTGATACACTTGTTCAGATCTTCTCACCTTGAAAGTTTGATTAGCATCTCTTGAAATTAAATTGCTTAAATTTAATACTGCTGCAGCTGCTCATTTGGCTAATGGATGCTTTTGTTCTGTTTCATCCAAGTAGATATTTTGCTGTCAATTAGAAGAGCTCATTCGTTGGCTCCACAAAATAGCAGAAGTCACAGACAACTGGATTCCTCCCAAACCAGATATTGAAAGTGTTAAAGCATCAGTACAACACTACCTGGTAATAGTTTTCCTTCTGCTTTCTCAAATTATGAATTTCAGTAGCAGGGAAGTTTGGCCTTTTTGTTTCATCATTCATAATGGCTTTCATGGGCTGCTTAGATTCACAAACTGGGTGTTGGTTACTGACCTTTGTTTTACTGTACTTGGTGGGAATTGGGAAATGACGTGGATAATGCTTTGTTTTGTCTCCCTTCCTAACCTGCCTGCTGTAATGTGAACCGGTCAGTCACTCTGAAGGACAGGGCAGGGTTAACTGACATGAGGGGTAAAATGCTGGAAAATCCAGGTGGCAGCCTTTGTTATTACACATAAGGAAAAAAATATCGAAAATTATACCCCAAGGATACAGGAGATAGATGCAATGAGGGCAAATGGTCTGCACTAGGAGGCTGTCATGACTATTACCTCATGAGTCAACTGACCTGGGCTGGGAGGAATAAAGCCCCGGGCCTGGAGAGGCTTGGTGTCCGTCTTCAGGGAGAAATTCTGCTTCTGCTGCCATTATTCTGTGCTACCCTGTGCTTGATGCTGGTATAATAATTGAGTGCCTAGGGTGAACTTTGTTGTTTCATGTCTGAGGGGGCCAACAAGGCCTGGGAGTTGGGGGTCTTGGGTTGGCTGCAATTCCTGTTGTTGCTGCTCTGCAAATCCCTTCCCTTCCCCCCTTCTTTCCTTCCTTAGCCCCTTTAGCTGTTTTAGTACCCTCCACCCCTATATGTTATCCTTTTAACAAAGCTGTATTTTCCCCTGACACTTGTGTTTATCGTATGCTGAATCCAGTGTCTGGTCTAGGGCCCTGGGACAAGGGAGTTACTAGGCAGGATTTTTTTAGCCTGGTTGGCCATGGGAATGGGGCATCTTGGTCTGTTTTCTGCTGTACCTGCTTCTGGCAGTAAGCTCAGTCGTCTCTGTGCTGGCTTTCATCATATGGGAGGAACTAGTTGCTGAAAAGTGGTCTGTTTAAACCCAGAGGGTTAGGTGCACACGGGGGCTGGGTTCATGCAACTGGATTGCTAGGAAGTGGACTTCTCTGCCCCCCATTTCTATGGTTAATTCTGGTAGACCAAACAGCTTGCTCAAACACCAGGGAAGGATATGAGCAATGTTTTTAAGCCCATCCCACGCAAGCAACCTTCACCAGCTTGGAGCCCTACAGAATGTGCAGCAACACAGATCTGAAGGGATAGGTCAGGAAAAGCTGCCCCAAATGATGCCCACTGTCATGAATCAGTGTCCTGCTTTGGAATACATCTATTCTTCTTCTGTGTTCCTTTTCCTTGAATAGTGCTGCTACGCTTGATGTGCAAATGAAAGAAACAGAGGTACAGATATGCTACAGCCCTTAGTTAATCTTCCAGCTTTGTTTCATTCACAGGACAGGTCATTATTTGCTTTACAGCATATGCAAAACAGCAGCAGAAATCTATGCCTTCTGTATTACTGAAGTGAAATTAATTGTGCTGGCTAATAAAATAGCTCCAACTAGTAATTGTTGTGGGGGCAGAGAAAATTGGATTAAAAATGTTTAAATTATGCATTTAAAACTGTACAGTCCTAAATGAGTCATTCAGCTTATGTCTCAGCTCCCAAGTGATGCATTCCAAAGTAAGAGTAGGTAGGATTGCAGCCTAAGTTGCTGTTTTTTAAAGTTAAATTTTGGTGCATATTATATTTTAAAATAAACTTACTTTGCAAATGTTTAATACCTTGTGTGGTATCCAAAGTCATGCAAGCAGACTTCATCTCAGGCAGTGAAGCTTCCCTTTTCTCCCTGCATGCCTCTGTTCTGGAGGGCCCCCCTACCATCCAGTGTAAAATTGGGAGGGGTGACAAGCTGCAGTGAGAGCATAGTTATCTCCACTAACTGTTTATTTTGTGTGGATGGATGGACATAATTGGATTTCTCTTGTTTTATTGACTCCGGGTAGCTGCCTTTGGATAATGAATAGTTTTGGATTCTGAGGGGCTCACAATTTAATCACCTTGATCATAGAACCTAATTTAGGCAAGAATTCAGTGGCATTCTGAGTCTTCAAATGTTTTTCATGTTGCAGTTCATAATGTCAAACACATTTCTTGACAGGAGTTCAAAAAGGATTTGGCTGACCACCAAGCACTCTCTGAAGGTGTGTTGCAGGATGGTGAAAGACTGCTCCAGTCTATAGCTTCAAATTCACCAGGTAAGAAGAGGTGATTGTGCACAGGAACTCGAAGCAAAGTTTGATGTTAAAAAGGGGCAAGACACAGAAGGGAGCAGAGTTTTTAGCTCTTGTGGTTTTAAAGCTGCTGAGCTTGAGCCAGCCAAAGCGGAGTACTTTTAAGTTCCATTAATTTCAGGAGGGGAGACTTGCAATCCTGAGTTCAGTAGAACTTCCAGGGAAGTATGTACAAGATCACAGCCTCAGCATTTATTTACTTACATATTTATAGGCTGCCTATAACTGCCAAAAGGCCTTCCTAAGTGGCTTATAGCATATTACACACACACCCCAGCACCACCACCACATTAAAACGTATTAAAATACTTAAAAGATTAAAGACATCAATACATTTAATGCTCACAGTAAATTTAGTGGGACTTAAAATGCTTAATTGTTCTTAAGAGCTCAAAAACTGGAAGGCAAACTGGAGTTTGAGAGCTATCTGCAAATACATTATTTTCTAAAATTTGTTTGGGCTGACCTCAAATTTTATAACCTTTGGGCAGTACAGTACAGAATGTGATAGAATGCAAGTGAGTTGTCCTTCCATTATAGTGTTTGTTCGCTTAATTTGTTCATATATTTATATCTTGCCCCTTTTCCTTCCAAGGAACTTAAGGCAGCTTCTCCTCCTCCTCCTAACTTATCCTCACAACAACAGCCCTGTGAGGTAGGTTGGGCTGAGAGAGTGTGACTGGCCCAAAGCCACCCAGTGAGTTCAGTGGCTGAGCATCTCCTGAGTCCCAGTCCCACACTCTTAAGTACTACATTACACTGGCTCTCAATTTGCCAAGTGACACACTGACTTTTAGTAGCTGTTTAATTATATTTCATCTTTCCACCAAGGAGCTCAAGGCTCTTCTTTTCTCCCCTACTACGTGTTATGTTTAAAACGATCCTGTGAGGGATGTTAGGTGGAGAAAGAACAAGGGGCTGGCTCACCACAGTGCTACAATAGATGCAACACATTTTCCCATTCTTTGCTTGCTAGTTTTACAGGACACTCTTAGCTTGATTGCCAAACAGTCTAGTGAGCTGGAAGGCCACGCTGCACGTTTGTATGAGTCTGTTCTAGCAGCGATGGATGCTCTCAGTGCTGGCTTGATGAGGAATTGTGATGCTTCACCAGCAGAAGCCCAGGCAGAGTCATCCAGGTGGGTAAGCAAAAGGGGGAAGGTTGGGCGGGCAGATGTTAACGAAATGCATGTTAAGATAATGAGGCCAAAGTGCTTCAACGAAACTTAGAAATTACGCTCTTCCGAGATGAAATATTTAGAGCAGGGGTCCTCAGACTTTTTCAGCAGGGGGCCAGTTGAAAGGGGCCAGTGCTGGGCGCAGGCTGGAAAGGTGGTGCTGGTGGGGTGAGGGGGCGGGGGTGGGGCATGCGTGCACTGAGGAGGGGTGGGGCGCGAGGGGCGGGCGGGTGGGTGCACGCAGCAAGGGGAGGGGAGGGGAGGCAGGCTCACAAGGCAGAGGCTTGTGCGCCTGGAGATCGTTTTCCCCGAGCAAGCCAACCGCTGCCTCCCTGCACGCGCGGGGTGAGTTGGGTGGTGGCGTGTGTGCGCATGGGCGCAGGCCCAGTGGGTCCAAATGGGCGCGGCGGGCCAGTTAAATGGGCATGGCAGGCCGGATCTGGCACCCGGGCCTTAGTTTGAGGACCCATGATTTAGAGGTTCCCTACTGTGAACTAGAGAGGTCATCCATGAGTGCTCAGCCATCTTCAACTTCACTAAATCCAGCTGAACCAGAGAGGTTTAGCAGATAATAGACAGACAACAAACTTTGTAGGGGTGGATTTCAAAATAAATTTGCTTAGGTTTGTGTAGTGGATGAAGGTGAGAGATTGCTTTGATTCTGACTGAATAAAACTCAAAGTTTGGAAAGAAAAATGACAGATTTTTATATCTTAGCAGTTCTATAATGTGCAGACTGCTATGGGATTAGCTGTAACGTAGAATTCTTATTTGATTGTTGAGGTTCAAATTATTGTGAGATGATGCACCGCATTGGGAAATGTAGAATAACCTCCAATGCAAAGTAACTAGCCTTGTTTAGTGTTATATTAACAAATACAATATTTTGATTTATACAATGCACCAGTCCACCACTTTTAATTTTACTTTGTTGCTCATGGTGGATTTTCCTCTGCATAGGCATACAAGCCTAAAAATAGTGTGTGCCTGTTCACAAGTATATGCAAGAGCACGTGCCCAAAATTAGCACTCGAAAAAACAGCAGTGTACTGGTGACAGCAGTGACAGAGCATGTGCTTTGCATACAGGTAGTCTCAGGTTTGCTCACTAGCTTCTCCAGGTAGGACTAGGAAAGACTCCTGCCTGAAACCCTGGAGAGCCCTTGCTGCCAGTCAGTGTTGAAAATGCCAGGCTTGATAGACAAGGATCTGACTCAAGAAAAGGCAGCTCCCAGTGTGCCGTTTCAGATGAGGCACTGATCTGGGCAAGTAGTGGGGGAGTCCTTGAAGCCCTGCTTGAAGAAGGGCAAGGTCCACCCTTTACAGTCTGACCAGTTTTACTGCAGATAGTGTGAAGGATACGTTCGTGGTTTCCAAACCAGGGTTTTATTCATGATTGTCATGATTCCCAGGGTGTGATCTAAGGACATCCAGTGTAGCAGTGTTGAAGTTACATAGCTTCAGTGTCTGGATGGGGAACTGCCTGGGCAGCCTACATACACAAATTTCGAGTTCCACAGTGGAAGAAAGACAGGATAAGCATGTAAACTATTATGATTACTTTTATTTCAGATAACACATCCAGTTGAGGTGGAGCTTTGCGGACAGTCTTTAACTGAATGGGAGAACTGCATCAGGAAATAATTTGATGAGGCACTGCTGAGCTGTTCTTCAGCTGAGGGCTGAAACTTTGGGGGCTTTCTCTTCAAAGCTGTGATCTGTTGGGAGTGTGTTTAAGCTTGATGTCCAAGCCCAGAAGTTGCTGCAGCTGGCTTCAGATCGTGGGTCAGAGTGTTGGAGAGGAATGAGGATGCCACTTCCATGGATGTTGGAGTGATGGGTGGATTGGCTTAATGATGCACTCTTTCTAACAGCTGAATATCTGATTTGATTTTGTATTTCTTCAGGTGAACAGTGGAGGATCGTCAGCAGCTCTTTCCCCTGTGATTCCCTTTTGAAAGATTCTTTTAATGTTTTATTAACAAGACACTTCTGTGGAAGACTAGATTTCAAATAAAATCAATATTTTAACACTGTATTATCTGTTAAAGCATGTACTGGAAATATGTGACTTCAGTACCCCCAACAGATCTCACAGCTTCTTAGGAACTTGGATAAGGGCCTCATTCTATAGTTCAGCACAAGTATTGAGCTTCTGTGCTCCTCAGCCCTCAATAGTGTGGCGGTAAGCTGGAGAGTGAAGTGGTTGTGCCATTAACTAAGCACAGTTTGGACACAACAGTTTTGTCTGTACAAGCCATGATTGTAAATTGGAATTCAAAGTTGGCTTGCTTGGATAAGTTGTGCCTTTTGCACATGACTGATTTAAAATACAAAGAGTATGCTGCAGGTTGAGAAGAAAAGCGGTAACTGGGTATGTGGAGCATCCTGCTTAAAAGTCATCCTGGTAGCACTAGAAAAGGCCATTAGCTTTGCCTTGAGACATGATAACTTGTAACTAAATGCCTAATAATTTTCTCTTTTGGAATTCATGGAATGGGCTTCCATGGGAGGTTGTTGAGGCCTCATTGGTGAGGGTGTTCAAAGATAGGCTGGACATGCACATGGTGGGCGTGTCGTGAGCGGAGCCGGCTGGAGCCAGGGGTCAGACTAGATGGCCCGGGAGGCCCCTTCTGACTCGCCGTTCCTATGTTTCTATCTTACATGCAAAGGTTTGAATAATTGCATTTCTAAAACAAGCGTCTAGCTAAATGGAGGCTCCATATTCTTTGTGACAAGAGACACAGTTTATGAGAGAAATCTGGTTTAATGTTGCAATATGAGCAGGCTTGCATGTTTCCTTTTTCTTTGTCGGAATAGGAAATGCTCTTTCATAGTTTGCTCATAAATCAGAATCTAAAGCCATGGCTTTATGGCACAGTATTGGTTGAACTATTTTTTGCTATATGCTCCCCACCCATATGCTTGGTTGAAATGGCAAGTTATGCATCTGATTGGAAGCCAAATAGCTCTACTTCCATTTTTGCTGCTGCAGATGCTATTTTCCAAGTAAACCAATTAAGTAACAAAATGCAACATCTGTGTAATGAACATAAAGCCATATTTATATGACTAAAAATTAAAAGCTAGACAAGTATTTAAAGTAATGAGTGCTTTGAACAAACTTTCCATTCATTTTTATTTAGTTTAATTACTATGGGGTTAAAGCAAGAGCAGGCAGAAAGATCACAGATCAGTTACAATGTATCAGGAAGGATCTGTCTTTTTATCAGGTGCTGTTTAGAAACAGTGTAGTGTCTGTATGAAATTTCTTGCTTGATTTGGGGCACATTGTATCGTCAGACTCAGTATTGACTAGTTATTAAGTAAAACTTCTAAGGGTGCTAGCACAACTGGCCCTTTCATGACACTGCCAGATTTCAAAAGATCATTCTTAAGTATTCCTCAGCCAGAGACTATAATTACTAGTTGATTGCTTTTGGCCAGGTCTATTTTCAGCACTGCTGGCTGGCTTTTGTGTTAGTCTTTGACCTGTAGCCAGATGTAGATAGGTAAGTCATCCATCCCAGTGTATGAATTAAAGGCTGCAGTAGACTCTACTGGCTGGGCCACTACTTTGGTTCTGCTTCTGCCCCCTGCCATTATTTTGAAATTGACTAGAAATGTCAATTCTACCAACAGTAGTCAACGTTTGCTGCCACCTGAGTTAGATGACTTGCTCAAGATCACCATGTTTTAAGTAATAATTCATACTGATTTACTTCCATTAAACATAAATGTGTGTATGCATGTGAGTACACATATAAATATCTGGTAGCTCCAAAAATGGTGTATGTCATAACTTGTTCACAAGGGACACAACAGGATGTATCTTATACATGCTGAAGTTAATCTGCTATTGCTCTTTATGAGCGTATTTCAGGAATATCTGAGTCAGTGCCTCATATGTTCCGAGATGCACAGTATCACACTAAAGTAGCACTGGACATTATTTTCAAACCTTTGGGGACATGTGCCTGAACATTGGGCAGGGGAAGTCCACCCCCCCCCATGTGGGTAATTTGACTGCAACATCTGTCACCTCCATTGTCGTGATTGATTTGGCCGATCACGTGGGCCAGGTGGGTGTCCCCTCCCTCACTGCTTCATGGGTGTCCCTCCAGAAGCTCTGTGCTTGGTGGAGAGGACCATCCCAGATAGAAGGCTAATCTCTCCCCAGCCCCCTGTGCTATGTAGGCTCTCTCATACATCTTTGTTTCCTCATTTGGGCTTCATTGCCTACAGAGGCAATCACAGAAGTAGGCAGCAAAAGGGGGCAGGCTGCAGAATTCTAACCAAGGGTTGGGGCAAGTGGGGGGGGGGCAATGTTACGGGTTTTGTTGTATGCTTGTGGGTGCTGTGCTGCTGTTTCCTGCCCTAAAAGTGTTGGTTACATAGCTTTTATAGCTATAGCTGAACAAACTGATGTTGCAGATTACAAAGAATTTCAGACTAAGTTTTGGCAGTGGGTGAGAATCGTACTATTACATAGTCTAACCAGGGTGCAAAACTGCAATTCATACGTTAATGTTTTTAATGGTAATAAAACACTGAAAGACTTGAAGGCTCTTTATCGCCGCTTGATAGAAAAGGATGCAATAGCCTCTTAAGTTAATTTTAGAAGATTTTGGAGCATAGGTATCAAAACATTTGTCAACCAAAACTGCTCTCTCCAAGGCTTCAGGTTCTGTAGGCTGGGTCAGGTTTTTTTTTTTTTTAAAGCCTGTCAGAGCCACAATTGATACCATAGGTCAGGCAGAAGATACTATGCAAGTACACATTCATAGAAAGGAAGGGGAATTAAGATTCAGTTTCTCAAGTTTAATTTGACAGCTACTTAAAGCACAGTATGTGCAGATTAGAATAAGAACCCTAAAGTAGTCATCCATTGCTATTCTGTGTGTTTTCCAAATATTAGAAAAGGAGCTGCATAGCAGTTCCCTGGAAGAGTTTAGCACCAATAGATTAACTCTGGATATTCTTGAATACAGAGCTTCAGTCCTTTGAGAGCATTCCATGAGCTCAATTCTTAACTGGCCTAGGTATTTCCTTGCACAAAACCCAGTTTGATCTATACCATACATGTATATCCTGTTATAAATTGATCCACTAAGCACATGTTATTATGAAGTACACTTTATTGTGAGGGTCAAGATAGCAAATTCAAAGTTTCAATAATTTCAATCATCTGACAACAGTATGAAGAATTAGGGTACTCCAGCTGGGGATGCAAATGCTAATGTTTTATGACAGGGATCAAATTTTCCTTTTAGTGTTTTGTGAATACACTTGTCTCAACATATTTAAGTGGCCTATTTTATAGTCACACCTGGATGTTTTCTTACAAAACAAACCTTAATGGCAGTTTCAAATTAATCTCTTTTATAGAGATTCTTTCATCCAATTAGTAACTTCAAAATCCAGATTTCAGGCACTAATGGATTAGTTCATCTATACAAAAAAATCTACATGCGGGCACCATAGCAGTAAGTTAAGCCACAATTTTCTGCACATTTTTATTCAAAACATCTCCCTGCACAAAATTTCATTAGTACTCTGGTCATTTACCTTATGACCAGTTCCCACTTCAGCCTCCTTGTGCCTTTGTGCATAACAAAGCCAACCAATAAATTGCACTAAGTTTATTAAAGTCAACAGTATTTGATTGTGAGAGAATGGAAGTAACATTATTTAGAAAAGACATAACATACCATCAGAGTTAACATCACTTTGTTAGTTTGAATTCATTCATATGTTAGGAAAATACTGCTTTCCTCTTATGACAGAGCAAGAGACACAAGTTATTTCTAAATGATATCATTTAGAAACAGATCCAGACACACGTAGGACTCGGGGGAAGGAAAGAGAAATATGGTACATTTAGAGTGATTATGATTCTATAAACAATGTTAGAAGTTGTGTTTCAAGTATAGCATACATGCCAGAAACACCTGACAACTTAAGTCTGTTAGGCCATACTTGCTAGTTATTTGCTGGGCTGGCAGGGTATGGTCTAGGTAAAGGTTCTAAAGTGCCATTACTGCACATTAAAAGGTTCATGTGGGGCACAATGCAAGCCTTTCCCCTTAGCCATAAGAATTAAGACAATACTTATCACCATACAGTTTGATATTACTTCCAATAAGTACAATATTTATTAAACATTTCTTCGGTTTGTTACATATTGTGCAACAAATTACAATATTCTGCAGCAACAAATTATATGCAGAGTATGAAGAAAAATCAACATCTGGGATCCAAAGAGCTAGACAGGACTGCAACTTTTTTTTGAATGGCAACTCCCCTGCCCTTATGAAATGACCCTCAGTTTCACAAGAGGTTTGCCTTGGGGAAGTGCTGCTTGAGAAAAGTCCAAACCTGGAGGTGCACAGAACTAATTTGTGCAATTCTTTGGATCCTGGCCAGAATATAATCTTTCCATTTATATCTCTACAAAGAACTAGCAAAGTAGATCTTACATAGAACATCGTACTGAACTTTATGCATGGAAAAGTGACACAGTTGTGCTGCTGGATACAAAAAATGGCTAAACTTCATCTTCAGAAAACTAAATCTGACATCTAAACATGCCAATATGATCAGAACAAAAAATATTCCAAGTTTAGCCAACCACAGGAAACAATCTGGTATAAGAAAAAGCAACAAGGATTACACGCATTTATAAACCAGCACACAAAAGGTTTAATGCATTTCTGAAAATGAAGTTAAGCTTTATTGAATTGGGGAAATAAAAAAGTCAGTATTGACCATTTACAATTTCTGACCTTTGTGGAGACGATAAGAATCTGTTGTAGTGCAGCTACATACAGTACAATTCAGGCAATTCTTTCAGCTGGGTTCTGATTTCATTGTTGAGAGGGGAGGAAAGTTTTAGCAGCAACCTCCACTAGACGGCTTGACTGGAGTGCTCTGAATTTTAACGTTGGACTTCTCTGCACCACCTGCTGTAGCTCCAGGACCCATTCGTTTTTTGATCTCAGCAGCCATGGTCATGAAAGACTGTTCTACGTTAGTTGCATTCTTTGCACTGGTTTCCAAAAATGGAATCCCAAGGGAATCTGCAAATTCCTGTAGGGAAAATACATCACTGTGTTAGCCAAGTAGCTCCTCGTTTGGCCACCGTACATAAGCAGTTACCATCATCCCTTCAATTAAGTACACTTAACAGATCTTGAATTAACCATTCCTGCTGTACTGCTGTGTTCACACCCAAAGTCGTCAGTTTCTTTTTTTATTGACATACCTTTGCTGTTGTATAGTCTACGACTTTCTTTGTGGTCAGGTCACACTTGTTCCCTACCAACAACTTGTTTACATTTTCACTGGCATAACGGTCGATTTCTTGAAGCCACTGTTTTACATTATTGAAAGATTCCTGGAATATACAAGAAGAACTTGTTAACTCTTGCCTTTAGTGGACAGTGGTATTACCATCTAAGAAGGATTTTCAAGGGATCTTGTAAAATTACAGATGAGCTTAATGCCCAACAAAAGCATTATCTTTAACTTGGAGGTTACATGGCTGCTTTAAAGACATTCTCTATATTACTCTTACAGTTCTGGAATAATGTTGCCAACAATTTACCATATTTTTCGCTCTATAAGACGCACCTAGTTTTTAGAGGAGGGATCCATGGAAAGCTTCCTGATAATCACAGGCACATTCCTCATCACTTCCCCATGGGCTTCATTAAAAGACGGGTTGCCATTTGAAAACACACACCGCCCTGTGATTAACAGCTCTCACCTGCGCCAGAGAAGGGGGGCGGAGCAGGGCGCGCCGAGCACGTGCCGGCCAGGTGTGGTGCAGCCGGGCCGGCAGCATGTCAGCGGTGGTCTTCCAGGCGGCATGGCGGCAGCAGGTCTTCCTGGGAGGTGGGGGTGAGCAGTCCGCCTCTCTGTGTGGCCGGCGGGTTAAAGCCCGCAGCTCCTCCTCCTCCTCCACAACTCTCCCTGAGCGGCACAGCTCTCACCTGTGCCGGGGGGTGAGGGGGTGGAGCAGGGCATGCCAAGCACATGCAGGCCAGGTGGTGCCACGTGATGCAGCTGGGCCGGCAGCGTGCTGGCAGTGGTCTTCCAGGCGGCGCACTGGCGGCAGGTCTTCCTGGGCGGTGGGGGTGAGTAGTCCCTCTCCGTGCGGCCGGCAGGTTAAAGCCCATGGCTCCTCCTCCTCCGCGGCAGGTCTTCCCGGGCGGTGGGGGTGAGCAGTCCGTGTCTCCATGCGGCCGGCAGGTTAAAGCCCGCGGCTCCTCCTCCTCCTCTGCGGCAGGTCTTCCCGGGCGGTGGGGGTGAGCAGTCCGTGTCTCCATGCGGCCGGCAGGTTAAAGCCCGCGGCTCCTCCTCCTCCGCACCGCTCCCCCTGAGCGGCACAGCTCTCACCTGCGCCGGGGGTGGGGGTGGAGCAGCGCGTGCCGAGCGCGTGCTGGCCAAGTGGGGCCACGTGGTACAGGCGGGCCGGCAGCGTCTCGGGCGTTGGGCACACACACATTTGCTCTATAAGACGCACAGACATTTTCCCTTACTTTTGAGGGGGGAAAAGTGTGTCTTATAAGGCGAAAAATACGGTAAGTGCTTGGCAGGCAAGCTGGCAAGCAAGCCTAAAGATGATAGATAAACAGCTTACTGATGATCAAATGGCACAAACCAGTCAATTCCTTCATAGATTGTGAAGCATGACATGCAAATTTGGATCACTGTGTTGTTTGAGGCTAAATGATCCCGCAGTTAACACTGCTTTTGTTGCATTAATCACTAGGTGGTTTAGCCCTAAACAATCCAGTGGTCATTTCCACAATCTAAAGAAAAGACAATTGTGGCTGTGGACTAAAAGATGAAGAGTCAGATACTCTGGGGACAGTTCACCTGTTTGTGCATGACAACTAACCAGTTTAAAAAATGGCTGATTGCAGATGCATTTAAGCAGGATTTGTATTTACATTTTTACATGTCCCTACTGTATGCTCACAACTCTATGCTCACAAGTCTTAAGTAAGCTTTTAGATACACTTTCCTGAAATGCCAAGCAAACAAATACTGACCTGATCTGTAACATCATACACAACTATGATGCCATGAGCTCCTCTGTAATAACTAGAAGTGATCGTTCGAAATCTCTCTTGCCCTGCTGTATCCCACTACAAAAAAGCAAGAAGAAAAAAGATTGCATCTATTCAGAGATGCAGCTCATTCCATTTTGGGTAAGTTAAAGAATTCTGTAATATTACAATATTAATATATTCCATGAAATACCTTAAATTACAAAGCAGAATCCATACTTTATGGAAGTCAATTGTGAAAAAATGACATATAATAAGGCAGAAGATTCAAAGTAAGTTTCAGGATTGTCACCTTTTAAGAATAATCAGGAAGCAAGCAAAAAGCCATAGTCATCCAAGTGCTGAGACTGCTGGATCCCTCTACCAATGGAAGGAAGCTTTCTTTTCCAAAAGAGACAGTGCTTGACCCAAGCCCGTTACGAGTGATATGCAAGAATCTGCCGTAAGTCTAAAGTATGAGACAGGCCTGTACTGGGCATTACAGTACATACTGCTTGTGGAGCAGGCAGGCCTCCCTAAGCCAGGTCTGTTTTATTTGTGATGCGCGCACACTCACACACTACCCAACTGATGAAGCTTTCAGAGTGACTCAGCCTATGGGATATTAGCTTCTACCCAGAAACACCATAAAGCCCTCCAGCCTTTGCCATGCAGAATTTGATTGAAGAGTTAGTTGATCACACTTCCTGTAGTTTTCACTTCTAACATCCAAGGAGAGCCATGGCTTCAACATCCTAAAACTTCCTTTTCAGCTATCAAATAAGATGCTGCAGCACTACTGCTGTTCCACATAAATCTAGCAGTCTAGTCCTTAGCCATGCTGCAAAACACATCACTAAAAATATACCAATTTTAGATGCAGAAATTCATCTTAGATGCAGAAATTCATTTTAGATGCAGAAAGCATCAAGTCCTACTAAGGAAGCTTAATTCACATTTAATGATGCTAAGAGGGCTGTAGGGTTCAGGAAGTTTTCAATAATGGCTCTAATAAGGTATGCTGGGAGACAGAAATGGATGTTTCGACTAGCTGACTAGCCTCACAATGCCTGTCTAGCCAAGCATTGCAGACAGGGAATGAACAAAAAACAAGCAAAATGAGTTTCAGTCAGGAGTGTGAGGACAACTTGCAAGATAATGCAAATACAACTGATACAGAACCTAGCTGATACAACCAACACTATCTTTCAATGGTCTATTGTAAGTGTATTAGATCCCATAGAAACTAATTAGCATATAGCATTGTGAAATATTGTAGCACCCTAGACAAGTGGTATAACTATACCCCTGTTCCAGGGATAATGCAGATTTATCAAATTAATCTCTCATCAGATTTTTTCCTTAGTTTGCTGCTTTTCATTATACTTCAGGAGTGCTAAGCCTATATTTGGTTTCTTACTGGGCCTGGTATTATCAGGGCCTCCTGACTGTACCATTGCTACTGCATCCCTGCATTTAGTAGATTAAGATGTATCAGATTTCTCAAACTGGTAATCTGCCAAGTGTTCAATATAAAGATTTGCCTTGCTTGGTAAAGAATACAGTTTGCATCAGCAGACATCCAAGGCAACAGAAATAAAAACTCTTCCTTAGAAAATAAATGATTAAATAATAAACAAAAATAAATAAGAGATTTCCTATTAATTTCTTCTATCCAATTCACCTTAGAGAAAAGAACATTGCTTTGCTTGTCACTGCATCAAATTCCATGGCCAGAATGAATTCTAGGTTTCTAGCCTGAAATCTAATGCTTTTGTTATATTCCAAAGGAAGCTAATTTTTGGCAAACATGTGACCAGACTGTATTTTGATTAAATAGTAATAAAATATCACCATTCTGGACATCTACCTGATTAACAGAAGCAAAGCACTTAGGTCACTCATATGGTTCCCGCATCTAATACTTAATTGTGAGCATAACACTGATACATTTAAGTTTCACATTAGAACTAAGTTTCACCAAAGCAGGTAATACTTACTATCTGAAGCTTGATTGTTTTTCCATCTAACTCTATAGTTCTGATTTTAAAGTCCACACCAATTGTGCTGATATAGCTTTCTGTGTATGTATCATCCTATGAAAAGAATGTCACCATTAGAACCTGTAATGTAACAGCATCAATATGAGAAGGAACAGCCTAACCTGAGGCAAGCAAGGATCCAGCAAAAGCTGAAGCCACTGTAGTGCTGTACCTGTATGAAATGAGCACAGGCAGGGCTTCAAAGAGGGTAGAACTATCATTAGGTACACACACATGCAGACTTTTCATGTGAAGGCCCACTCCTGTGGCATGTCCAGTTGCACCACTGTAAAATGTTATGGCGTACTGGTTGCCAATGAAAAGAACACCATAAGGCATGGCAAAGATAGTTCCCTGGATTCTACCTCTTTATTCTCCCCCAGCATTGCCCACTGCCAAGTTCAGTGGATGACAGAATAAGCAAGACAACCAACCACAAAGCTCCTTCTTATTGTGGGCTACAGAGTTCAGGAACTTGCTTACTGTGGGCCCATTTATGCATTGCCCATAGATGCTGGATTTTTTGCCCCAACAAGCATTACTTAACACTTGCGTACACTGAACTGCATTTGCTGCTTGATGCCCATTCTACGAGCATGGAGTGATCCCTTCGGAGGTCCTCACAATCCCTTTCAGTTTTAACCACCCTAAAAAGTTTAGTGTCATCAGCAAACTTGGCCACTTCAATACTTATTCCTAACTGCAAATCATTTATGAATAGGTTGAAAGCATCAGTCTTAATACAGAACCCTGTGGGGCTCCACTGGTTCTCTCTCTCCACTGGGAGATACTCCTATTTATGCCCGACCTGTGTCTTCTGATCTTTTAGCAGTTAGTGATCCATGAAAGGACCCTCACCCTTTATTCTGTGACTGCTTACTTTGCTCAGCAGCCATTTGTGGAGGACTTTGTCAAAAGCCTTACAGAAGCCCAAGTAAACAACGTCTACTGGATCACCCCTGTCTACATGCTTACTGACAGACTCAAAGAACTCCAACAGGTTAATGAGACAAGACTGGCTGATTTTCTCCCCCCCCCCACCCCACCCCAGGAGAAAGTGTCCCTCTATGAGTTTATTGATTCTACCTTTAATAAAGCTTTCAAGCAGAAAGCATTAGTTTCAGAACAGATCTTAAACTAATTTCCTAGCCTCTATTTTCCCAAACCACCCCCACCCTTGGGTCCCTTTTAAAAAATTGGTATTACACTGGCCCCTCTCCAATTCTCTTGGTACAAAGGCTGATTTTAGGGACATCTTAAATATTTTGGTAAGAATGTTAGCAATTTCATGTTTAAGTTCTTCAAGAACTGTAGGATGGATATCATCTGGATCAGATGATTTGCTGACTTTCAGTTTGTCAATAAGGTAGAGAATTTTATATTTTGTCAGTACTATGTGCCTTAATTCCTCAGACTACACGAGCTCAGGTTCTACATCCTCTGCTGTGAAGACTGATGAAAAAGTTCATTCAGCTTCTCTGCAATCTCTTCATCCCCCTTAGTGCTTCTTAAATTCCATTATCATTCAATGGTCCAACTGCTTTCTTTCTTTAGATATATTTAAAGAATTATTTATTGTTGGCCTTGATGTTGTTAGTGATGCACTCCTCAAACTGTTCCCTTGCTTCTCTGAACATCTCCTTGCAATTTCCCTCATGTAAGCTTGTGGTCCCTTCTGTTCCCCCCATGCCCACCCCCCCAATTTGGGCAAGACTTATTTTTTGAAGGAAGCTTTCTCCATAGCCTCTTTGACTCTTGTGCTACCTTTCTTCACTTGCAGTATGCATATTATCTCTGCCTCTTTGATAGTGTTTCTGAGCAAACTCCAAGTGCTTGGATGCAATTTAACTCCTGGATTTCCCTCTTCCAACTGCTTCTTTAACAGTTGCCTCATTCTTGGGAAATTTCCTCTTTTCAAGTCAAACACAACTGGGTTTGAACTCTTTAGCAATCTTCCACCTAACTGTATATTAAATCTGATACCACCATGGTTACTGTTTCCTATTGGCTCAACAACATTTACATCCTGTACTATGACTAGGACTAAATCCAGGATTGCCTCTCTTCTGGTTGGTTCCACAATTGCCCCAGGGCACAGTCATTTAGGACACTGAGAAATTTAACCCCTTTGTCAGAAATGGAACATACATTTATCCATTCAATGTGTGGGCAAGTTGAAGTCACCACCCATTATTACAGTACTGCCTTTATTGTGAAATGAAACGAGGGAGGTCTCCATCTCAAGATCACCCTAAGCATTCTGGTCTGGAGGATAATAGCATACTCCTAGGACTAAGTTAATTTTATAGCTAGGCATGCTCATCCACAGTGCTTCTGTGGAGAAGCCTTCACTTTATATCATCAAGTCTGCTGGACTCTATGCCTTCTTTAACACAGAGAGCAACACCTCCTCAGGCACAGCTTATACCTAAGAGATGACCATATCCTACTGGATATCTCCACTCCATCAGGTTTCCATAATGCCCACTATATCTAGTTTCTCCTTTATCACCAGGTACTTCAGCTCTTCCATTTTGGTCCAAAGCCTTCAAGCATTTGCACAGAAACATCTGAGCACTGCTTATTCCAAGTCAGACCTGTGCACCTGCACACAAGTTATTTTCAAAGTAACTAACAGAGACCAGGCTGTAAGAGTTTAGAATGATTATATTCCATATTCTACAACAATCACAGGATGAGCTCTCCATGTGACCATCTGGTGACTGCAAACATCACATAGCAATATGTTTTGATAGGCATCATTCACTGTAGAACTGGTTATCAAATGAAGCTGTACCACATGACAGCTGCCAGCATATAGAAAGCAGAATTCAACACTGCATCAGTTTTCATATCCTTATATAGTCATATTAAGCAAAATAAGAAGTTTTGTCTGCTAGAGGAGCACATGCCAAGAAATATGTACCTAGCTTTGTGGACAAAAACTGTATGACTTATTAGTGTGCCCACAAGTGTAGCATTCCTTTACTTGTGACTGTAAATGGATTTACAGGTTATTTTTCTTTTATTATGATAGGTAGCAAAAAAAAAAAAAAGGGAACCCATAGTACAAGTTTATCAGTTTCTACAAAGGCTGGTGACTGAAAGAAAACTGAAAATACATGACAACTTACTGCAAACCTAAGCAGAAGGCAAGATTTTCCAACACCAGAGTCTCCAATCAGAAGCAGCTTGAATAAATAGTCACTGCAAAAAGAAAAATGTAATTATATTTATATGACAGTGGATGTGCTAAATTAGTGACAATGATCAGCAATGGACTAGACCAGGGGTCGGCAACCTTTAACACACAAAGAGCCATTTGGACCCGTTTCCCACACAAAAGAAAACACTGGGAGCTGCAAAACCCTTTTGACATCTAAAATGTAGATAACACTGCATATATCATTTTTAACCTTAATGCTATGTATATCTTCATTATGATTTAGCTGCAGCTCTTGTTCAGTCACTATAATGTTCAGTCACATTAGAAACTAGTAGGACTCCTTTCATATATTTTGAATAGGAGAACAGCTTCCTGAAGAGTCAAAGTCGTGCTAAAGGGCTACATGCATTAAACAGCAAACCCCATAAAGTTTGTCAGCAGTAAAAGCAAATGAATCTACCCATGTATCATTAAACGTTTGGTTTTCTTCAGAAACTTTTTTTTTATTTATCCATGGTTGGCCTACAGGGAGGGGGGGCGGGGGAGCTCAGTAAATTGGAGGCTGTGCAGGAGATACAGGTGTGTTTAGTGACTGATTAGCAGATAAACAGTCAAGTGCTGTGAATTGTGACAGGTCCTAAGCACAGCTTTTAACATTCAGATGAAGGAGATTATACTGGGACAAAGAGAATACTTTCAGCAGCTTTTCATGTAACATGAGAGCCTGCAGGAAGCTTGTTTAGCAGAGGAATGTAGGATTTACTTAACTAGCTGATTTACTTAACTAGCTAGTGCTGATGTGCGGGCAAGCGATGGAGCCACAGCAGAGGGGTTCAAGAGCCATGTGCGGCTCCAGAGCCGCAGGTTGCTGACCCCTGGACTAGACTAATAGCAAAAAGGGGGGCAGATTCAATTCACATAAGATTGAACTGTTGATGGTAGGCAGCTCATCTGACTTGAGTTGTGGCCTTAAGACTTTTTCTGGACTCCCTTTAAAGGATAAAATCATCAGCTTGAGATGTTGTTAGAGCAGTCCTGTCTCTTGCTGATCCAGTGGCACCTGCTGAACTAAACACTTCCTCCCAGCACTGGTGTGCCAGGTATAACTTCTCTGACATAAGCACAACTTGCCCACTGTTAGCCATGTTCTGGTAACATCCTGATTAGTGTACTGTAATGCAATATACATGGGCCTCTCTTTATAGATGGCCTGGATATGTCACTTGGACCAGAATAAAATTCCTAGACAGCAGGGACTGGGCAGACATAACTTATCCTGCAGGTCTTAACAGCTTAACTCAAAGTGCTGGTTAAACCCTATATTGGTTAAGACCCAAATATCTAAATGGCTATTGGTAAAATAATCTTCCCCAGGCATTCTTTTCCTTTGTCTAGAATTAAAAAGCTGGCAACTGAAAAAAGGGTGAGATTTTTTTTTATCTTTGGAATGCTCCCACTGGGAGGTTCATCTAGAATCAAAGTTAATTACTATACACAATCTTCTATGTATCGGGTAATTTTAACAAACAATATTATATTGTATTTTTGTTATCCTTGGTAAGGATTCTATTAGTGTATCATTTCTCATGTTTCTCTTTGTAAAAAATATTTTACAGAAAATAAAAGCCTGGTACCATCATTTGGTAAACTTGGGTTATGCACAGTATTACATCTTTCTCCCACACCTATTTCATATTCACTACAGTGCAGTGCAATACAATACAGTCCATTTTAAGTTGTATGCAATCCCACTGTTTCAATTTCCTAAGACTCCAAAATGCTAGATAGTGCATTTTATCTCATTCATAACCACAGGCTCTCAAGAAAGCTCCTCTGGAATACTCTGACCAAGTGAAAGAATCTGTCATATCATTTTATGAATCTATAAAGAAAATAGAGTAATCCAATATGTTTCAATAAAAGAAATAAAGAGCAATTAAAAACTATGAATCATCAGGAGCTATTTGGGAGACTTTGCCCAGTTTCGGAACTGTAGGCATCACTGTGGAATGGGTGCAAAATCCTGCTGCTTACCCACCAGCTTTGCACTTATCCATCCCAAAGGATGCACCACTCTGTTATGCAAAGTTCTTTGTAGTAATTGTGTAAGAGTTTGATGTTGCCTCAACATCACAAGTAGCTATGAAATGGACACTTGGGAAATTTGTGGCAGAAAAAATATCAACCATGCCAAGTGTTTCAAACACTTATGCTTTAATACATTCCATAGACTGTGCTACAATGAACCACACACACCTTGTCAGCAATTCTAATTTTAGGTGATCATAAATTCTCTAGAGGACAGGAAAGTAAATCTGAACAGCAATTATGGAAAAGCCTTGTGTATGCAACACACTCCTAAACTCATTACTTCAACTAAACTATTCAAACTGATAGGATTTACTTTCAATTAGTTTAGGATTAGCATTCAAGAAGAGAGACAACACTGAACCAAAAATGATCTAGTTCACATTCATTCATTCTCTCCCCCTCCCCAACAAGGAAGACAATCTAAGAAAAGAGATTTATTTACACTTCCACCCACAAGACAATCAACTTAGTGAAGCTACTCTATGTATGGGCGGTGGGGGGGGGGGCAGTCTAAGGCAACACGCTTTCGACAAGAAAGTCTTCATTTTAATTTTATTCCTCAAAACATTTTATCAGACACTATTGCTGCTCAAAAAATCTTCATTATAATTCTGTTTAAAGCATTTAATTCAAAAATATTTTCAAGTATCACTGTTTATATACAGCAAATATGATTCTATCAATATTGAAGCATATTTAATTAATAGACATACTTCTTCACATGGTTAGATCTTGATGGGATTTGAGAGTTTTATTTATTTATTTATTTATTTATTATTAAAACATTTTAAAACTTCACACTTTGCTGGGAGCAAGCATTATTTTCTGAAAGCAATGTCTGGATACACTGGGCTTACTTTGGAGTGTACATGCTCAGGATTATGGTGAAAGCTTGTTTCACTTTTGTGTTAAAAATAAAAATCACTGACTCCCATAAACCTTCGGATATGCATAAAGATATGCATATATGGGATATGACTGAATACTCCAAAGTAACAGATTAAGACAGACATTTTCAGCAACTGAAGCTGCTTATTGGCATATATTAATTTCTGATTCTCTTTCTTGCTATTTCAAAAATCCAATGTATGTTTTGCAAATTAAGGTTTCTGACCCAAATCCAGTATCATAAAGAACAGCATTTTATTCCATCAACAGCCTTTCTTACCAGTACTTTTACACATCCATTGCTAAAAGATATATACATACCTTCCCCTCTAAAGCAAACAAATTCATTTCCAAAATTGTTCTAACCACTAGTTTTAGCACCACTCTAACATTCCATAACAAAAGCAATGAAATACTCCTGCAAATATACAACTTCAGCCCAAAGTACTTTTACATCCCATTAATAACTGAAGCATTAAGTACCTGCTTACAATTCTCCCAATTGACATGATTTGAAAATCCTGAACTCTGAGAGGTTTCTGCCTTTGACCATTTATTGCCATCAGCATTTATTTATCTTAAGGGTATTCATGCTGCCTTGGGAGAAAAGTCCTCCCAAGAAAGTGCACAATAAAAACTGTTTGTTTATTTTAAACTGTTTATAAAAACTGTGTTATTTATAACACAGAAAACATAAGATTCTGCTTTGGAACAGCAGTATCACACACCTGACTGACAGTCCAACCAGTGCAGTCAAAAATCAATTTTAACAAAGAGATTAAAATAGAAAGGTATGCAATGTCCATTTAAAACCAGTTTTGGAAGAACCTTGGGAACAAGATATGGGGCTACCACTGAAAAGGCCCTGTTTATTATTAGCCTTGATGGCAGGCCTATGAACAAGCCCTCTGTGGATACTAATGTCTGAGAAGGTTCATAAAGGTGCAGATAGTCCATCAAGTAATCTGACCTCCAATTGTTTTGGTCCTTCAAGGTAATCTACAGCATTTTAAATTGGCTGGAAAGCAAAATGGCAATGAACATAAATGACTGTTTTGTAACTGCTGAAGCTTCCAAAACATTTTTAAAAGGCAGCCCCACACAAAGTAGTTTAGCCTGAATGTAACCAGGACATGAATAACTATGGCAAGGTCCACTTTCTCCATATATGGTTACAGTTAGCAAATCAGTGAAGCTGATAAAAGGGGCTTGAAGGATCAGTGTAAATTAAGCTTCCATCTACAAGACCACATCCAGGAGAGATAACAAATATCCAAAGGGATGGCGCTACCATAAACCACTTCAAACATAATACCAACAATATAAGTGGTGCAACTAATTTGCTTGGAAAACACATTGTGCAAGTTTATGCTATCAGCATTCCACTAGAGGTTGCTTACACTTATGTTACATTAATTGCACATGCAAGTGACTCTGCAGGATACTGCCACTGGTCTTTCAGAGAGAAGACAATTCTATCCAGAAATGTATGCACAACTCCCTCCCTCCAAGATTTCCCACCTACATTTTTTACATCTTAACAAGTTTATATTGCAGCTCATTTAACCTCATCTATCCCAAAAGTGTCTTGAGACACTTTTTGGGTTTCCATAGCCTCCACAGCATGAGAAGAGGCATTAACTAAAAGCTCTGGTTGATATCTCCAATGCAGACATGTTGTAAACCACCTGGAGAGCTTCAGCTATCAGCAGTATAGAAATGATGATGACAATTACAGACATTTTAAAAAAAAGTATGCAGGACAAGATAGAACCTTGAGGCAATCTAAAAGAGTAAACTGCCTCTGTAACCCATTCAGCGAGCCATTAGTCTAATAGGAATGGTATAAAAATGTTTGAAGTAAATAAAAGTCAGGGGTTGCATGGCAAAATAGTTGTCTCACAGCACCACCTTTTTGGTCCTTTCATTCAGAAAGAACCATGGGCATTGTGACACAACTCACCACTATGTTTGATAGTATCACAAGCTGTCAGGGTTTCACTCCCATTGTCCATTACCCAGCATCAAGCATTCACAAGCAGATCCCACTGCTCCCCTGATCGTTCCCACTATCATTTCTGCCTCTCACCATGCTCAACAACTAGGAAGTGGAAACTTGGCAATTTGAGAGACTTATTGCCCTATCTGATTTCCTGCTTCTATAATGCTGAAATGAGTGCAACAGGAGGCAGAAGCGGTGGTGGAGTGAGTGGGAGGTTTGTGAAATTGTGTTAGAAGGGAGTTAGCAATTCCAGAAGCAGTGAGACTGGGGAGAAAATAGAAGCAACAGGAGAAAGAAAGCTCCTGTGAGGAGGAGGGGCAAGAAAAGAAGGAACTCAAGAACCGCCTCCCCATTAAAATGTGCTCATGGCCCCTTGAAAGAATGGGGCTCATGTGCCTGCTGCCCCCAAAACATTGTCTGTTCTTGCACTAGGGTGACCAAGAAAGTTTTGATCTCAAAAGCAGGCCAGAAACTATACTGGAACAAATCCAAATAATCCACTCCTGGAATGGAGAAATTCCTACTACCTCTAGCGTTTTGTTCAACATCAGAACCATGACAACAAATATTCAGCATCACAGACCCAGAATCAAGTGTTTTAGAAAGTTCTGTCTATTGCCCTCATATCTTTTTTTATATCATCACACTATCATTTTCCCAAATTATTTCTGCATACTGCAGTACATAAGAACCACCATGCTAGATCATACCAAGGATAAATCTACTCTAGCATTCTGTTCACATACTGGCCAACCAGTAGCCTGTTTGTGTGACCCCATAAGCAGCCTATGAGTGCAAATGCACTCCACTGCCGATTTTTCCAGCAACTGGTGCACCCAGGCATACTGCCTCTGATGCTGGAGGCAGCATATAGCCATCAGAACTAACAGACATTGAGTGCCTTATTCTCTTCATGAATTTATCCTTTTAAATCCATCTAACTATGTGGCAATCACTACACCTTGGAGAAATGAATCCCATAGTTCTTTTGGGGGGGGTGTTAACTAGTGGCTCTCCTGCTGTTCTGGACTACAACTTCTTCAGCCAATGGTGAGGGATTATAGGAGTTGCAGGCCAAATCATCTGGGACACTACAAGTTACCTACCCCTGTACTACCACAAAATCCTGACAAACTAGATCTTGATACCATTTTATCATCCAAGTTTATATTACAGCCAGTGCAGTGTAGAGGTTAAAGTGTTAAACTGAGACTTGGGAGATCTGAGTTTAGTACTCAGCTGGCCATGAAACTCACTGGGTGATTTTGGGCTGGTCATGAAGTCTCAAATTAACCTACCTCACTGAGTTGTTGTAAGGATAACACACGGAGGAGGAGGATTATCTAAACTACCTTGAATTCCTTAAATAAATTTGAGGTTCCACAGTTAGTCAAAATTATAAGGTATAATTTGCATTGTGTCCTCAGATATGTCAATGTCACACTAAATCTATGTAATTTCAGGAAAAACTCTTGGTTTCCGCTTCTAGTTAAAAGACCAAACATTTATGTCAAAATATCTACTCCTATATTATGTATCACTAATAAGAAAGCACTAGTAAGGAAGTCTTCTCAAAAGTACAGTTTCATTCTGCTCAATATTTTATTTTGGAATATCCAGAAAGTTACTCCCACAATTTCCCCCTGCATATCAAAAACAAGCTACAGTTTTCACAAAAAATATGATGTCAATACAGAACATGAATATAAGATCTAACAATTTCATTACTAGTAGAAACACATATAAACTTACTGTTAAGAAGTGTTAGTGCTTACCCCATGCAAAAGTATACACATGATAAAATTAGATGTATTGTCCCAGAGCTTCACTGCCATTACTGTTGCCAGGAGACAGCTGAACAAAATCCTCCATACTAGATAGCACTACTCTTAAGTGAAAGGATCCAAAGTGCAAGAGGCAAAGGAGTTATCAATGAAAACCCCCCTTAATAGTTAAAGATCAACGTTCTTCATTCTTGCCTATTGCCTCTACAGTTTCATTTTACACTTCTTGGAAGTGTTTCTCTGCAATGCAGCAACATTGCAAAATCAACGTAAGCTCAGAAAGCATTTTGTAAGAATCATGTGGTAAACACATGACCCTCAGCATAATCAAGAGTGGACATCCACATTAAATAGTCAATAGCACAATAAGGCCTGATAAACAATCAATTGCTTCTCAGTGTAAAGCACAAAATATCATTAACTTTTCATGACGTGTCATAAAATCTCACTCCCTATCTGCAGCAACTGCTGTTTGTAACTCAAATTCTTACAGGAGAATACTGCAGGCTTCCTTCATTTTCCCTTCACTTTAAATTTCTCAACACAGTTTGAAGACAATCGCCTCCCATATAGATTGAAGCAGAGTAGGAAAAATGGCTAACACCACCAGCTTTCAAGCACAAGATCACTACTTCCAAGTTTTGCCTCAGTCATTAATTCAGTAGATGGCCACGCAGTGTGACTCCTCTGACCACACTGTGGACATAATATTGACCTCTCTTGTACAGCTTCTTCCTTGTAATGAGGGCCTAAACACCTGATGACCTACAGATCCACCAAAACTGGTAGTCTACATCACCATTTTGCACTGTCTCTCCTCTTTCCAAATTCATGGTGAAGGTGACACCAGTTTTTCCAACTATTTTCAGTCAGCCAGGCATCTCAGATTCCTTTACTAGTATGAACTCCTCCAATAAGGAAAGCCTTGCACACTTTGCAGCCAAACTAGAATGAAAGAATGAAAGAAGAAACGAAAAAAGACAGACTAGAGATAAAGCGGGTGGAGAACAGCAATGAGCCAAGAACAGATGCTGAGAGAGAAAAAAGTTGATAAAAGATGGCTGGCAGCTAAGAATTATGTAGGGGAGGGGAGGGTTTACAAACACCAAGAAATGTAGCTGTTGAGACACCTATTAGTAGCTAACGAAGAGATGAGAGTGCAGATCTGTGGCAAACAGGTAATACTCAAGAGAAGGGAAAGAGAGTGCTATGAAATATAAAGAGAACTAAACAAATGTTAATGGGTAAAACTGTTCAGGGATCCCATAGTTGTGCGATGAGTATGTGCATATACTATGGACAACAGAAAGGAAGTATGTGAGAAAAGGTTAAAGTAAAAAGAAAGTTATAACTGAGGACCAGCACGGTGTAAAGTCTGGAGTGTTGGGCTTAGGTCAAGGAGATCTGCATTCAAATTGTATTTTAGTACATTTATTGGATGATGGGTGATTATTCACCATCTTACAGCCTAACCTATCTCAAAGGAGCATTGTGAAAATTAAAAAGGAATTAAAAACCTCCCCACTATAAAGTTTACTTAAAAATACTCAAGCAACTTTCTTAGTTCATAAATCCAAGTTATACTTACATACATCCACTTATACACTTATCTCTTGCATACATATTCCCAGAAATAAAAAATAAATAAATAAAACTCTTTCTCAATCTCTCAGAAGTGGGTAGGGAACAGGTTCAGGCAGAACTCTACCATTTAAAAGGAACACATATCCACAGCAGACGCCGTTTGCAAAAATAGTGAGCTACAAAACACCACCTGTAGGACCCTGCATTCAATGATTTCTGGTTCGTGCCTCCTATATAAGCTCTCCATCCCTCACCAAGCCTTGTAATCGCCTTCTTCCAACCCCAACACATCGCTCACGGTTCTTTCCGAAATAGTATTCAGAGACGTCTCGTGACATTTTAGTTTCAACTCTGCCCTTGCAGCAAGCACCTTTCGTTCTCCCCCACACTCTCCCATTAAAAGCAATCAGCAGCTAAGGCTTGTGGTCTACGCCTATCTAGCCACAGTTGCTTTCCCCAAGACCCCCGTCAGAGTCCCTACTTTTTTCTACAGCTGGGAGGCCAGGGAGAGCAATCCCTTGGCCCAAGCCCCTCACCCAATATGCCAATATCACTTCGCTTACCTGTTTTCACCTCTCACTACTCCAGCACTGCTCACGTCCTTGTCCCCCTCCCATTCCCCCATCTGTTCCCTCCGCCCACGCACAGACGACAAACGCCACGTTGCCCTTCCCAGCCCCACTACTCACTATTCGGGATTCATGCTGGACATGTCAGCGGGGGTCCCGCGGCCTACAGAGAACGAGCTCGCTCCGCGGAGCAGGCGGCGGTCAGACCCACCGGCGGCAGCTCCTTGGGTGTCTGGTTTCCTTTTCAAGCAAACAGTAGGAGGAGACGGCACCGGCAGTGTCAACGTCTCCCTTTCCACAGGGCTCAATAGCTTCCCTCACAGACAGCGGTGGTGACGGCAGCCTCCGCTCTGGTACCTAGAACCCAAAATGGCTGCCAGCCCCCGAACCAGGAAACAGAGAAGCCTCTAGCGGAGGGCTGGGGCTTACATGATGGGAGGTAGATGGTGAGAGCCCTCGCAGGGAATGCTGGGAAATCGAGTTCTAGGTGCTGGTAGCCTTGGGCCGACGCGCAGCTGAATGGGCCAAAAAAACTCGGTTTCCCGGCAACTTCCGCCGCATGATTCACGCGTGCGCAAACAAAGTCTTTCCTTTGCTGTTTCCCGGTTGCCTCAATTTTGATATTAACGTAACGGATTGGCTGAAAGATTCAGCCGGCCGGGCAACGTCAGCAGGGAAACGTGGCAGCTCGGGCGAGCCGTTGACCTCAGCGGACTGGATGAAGAAAGGGCGGGGCCACCGGCGGGGAAGGAGGGAAAGGCGGGGCCATGTGGGCGGAACGACGCGGTTTGCTTTGGAATTTGAACTGGGAGAAGACGCCGCGCTGACAGGCAGAGCATTCGAAATGACGCCTCCTTTGGTCTCGGGCATACACTGCAGCGGGGGGGAAATCCTTCGTTTACGGAACGGGTGACTGCCGCTTAGCATTGCCTGTAACTTCTGTTAATTTAAGACTGTCGGTGGTGATAAGGGAACGGCATTCTACAGATGGTTCAACACCATTTAATCATTCCCTCTCTACGAGGCTGAGGCTTTGGCATGTTCGACAAAAATGGAAGTCTATAGTTCGCCAGGATAAATATTGAAAATAACTGAAGATATAACTGGCTTGAACTGTCCGTTTGTTTATTGATTAAAATGCCACATGTGAATTGTACTGTAACAAGTGCTATTTCATGTGCCTAACCCCTTTCATAGAAAGGCAGAGTCTGGTTCCCTTTGTACAAGACTCTGATAGATTTTAAACAGCCAAGATGCATAAGGATCTAGCTTACAGAGCTAAGCCAACTATGGGCAATTGTTAACTGGCTTGTTTAAAATCTATTACTGAAAAGGTTTACTTCAAAACATGTATCAGACACACAGATCAATAATTTAAGTGCAAGTAACACCCTAGAAGCATATTGGTGATCTTGGCTTTATCAATTTAACCAGAGTGAGTTGACAGATTGCCTAATTTTACATGGGCTTGTTTTGAAACTTTTGCAGTGTGGTAAGTCTACAGTCGTTTAATGCTGACAGAATGGAAAATCTAGCAGACCTCATGAGAAGAGCACATCCTTTATGAAAAAAAGAAACATAGAACAGAGTGAGTCAGAAGGGGCCTCTTGGAACATCTAGTCTGACCCCCGGCCCCAGCTGGCTCTACTCATGATATGCCTACCATGTGCATGTCCAGCCCATCCTTAAACACCCTCACCGATGGGGCCTCAACCACCTCCCATGGAAGCCCATACACCCTAGGGGTCCTAACTGTCAGGAAGTACTTCATGACATCTACCTTGAATCTTGGTTCCCTGAGCTTTGCTCCATTGGAATGCATCTTGCCCTCCACTGCAGGGGAAACAGGTCATGCCACCTCTGCGTGGCATCCCCTCACATACCTGTAAATTGGTAACAGGTCCCCTCTGAACCTCCTCCTCTCAAGGCTGAAAATACCCAGTTGCCTCAGTTTCTCCTCATATGGCTTACCCTGCAAACCAGCTACCATCCTAGTGACCCTCCAACTGCACTAATTCCAACCTTGCTATACCCTCTTGTAATGAGGGGCCCAGAACTGAACACAGTACTCCAGCTGCGGGCGCACCAGAGTCATATAGAATGACAATAATCTCTCTCTCAATCTAGAAGCCACACTTCTGGCTATGCATCCAAAGGTAGCCTTCTCCCTCTTGACTGCCATGTCACATTGCTGGCTCATGTTTAGCCTGTAGTCCACCAACACCCTGAGGACCTTTTCACAAGTGCTGTTCTCCAGCCACTTGTTCCTTAACCTGTACTTATGATGCCCAATCCTATGCCCAATCCTATGCCTCAAGCTTTTTGAATAGGGGGCAAGTTGAAAGGCTGGTGAGGTGAAGGGTGCCTGGGGGCGCGTGCTGGTGAGGTGCCATTGGGTACGCGCAAGGTGGCATCAGGCACACACGCCGCTGGCTCGCTCGCTCGCTCGCTCAGAGATCTCCCATCGAGTCCAAAACCATCTCCAAGTGAGTGAGCCACCACCTCCCTACCTGCACAGGAAGTACGGGCGAGGGTGGCAAATGGCGGGCTGGATCCGCCCCGCAGGCCGTAGTTTGAGGACCCATGCCCCAAGTGCAAGACCTTGCACTTCTCTGCACTGAACTCCATCCTGTTGTCCCCGGTCCACTTCCATAGTCTGTCCTGATCCTTTTGGATCCAGAGTACCTGCTCCTCAATTGTAGCCACCACCCCCATTTCAGTATCGTCTGTGAATTTGATCAGCAGACTGGTAACCCTCTCTTCCAGGTCATTGATGAAAAGATTGAACAGGATTGGTCCCCTGCTTGTCACCGTCCGTCATCCTGATGATTCTCCACTAATAGTAACCCTCTGCTTTTGGTCCATCAGCCATGCCCCAATCCATGACAGTGCATCAGACTATCCCAAAACTCATCAATTTATCATGTGGCATCTTGTCAAAGGCCAAGCTTGCTGAAATCCAGGCAAACCACATCCCCCACGTCCCCTACATCTGGTTACCTGAAGGAGCGCTTACATCCATATATGCCCAGCCACCCCTTGAGATCTGCGGGAGAGGCCCTTCTCCGGGAACCCTCCGTGAAAGAAATTAGGAGGGTAGGTACTCGGAGGAGGGCTTTCTCTGCGGTGGCGCCCAATCTATGGAATGCGCTCCCCAGAGAGGTCCGCCTGGCGCCGTCGTTACTTGTTTTTCGGCGCCAGGCAAAGACCTTTTTATTTATTTTTATTTATATATATAATATAATATTTATATTATATAAATTCATTTTAATTGTTAACAGTATTTGCTTATTTATCTGGCCAGGGCGACTTCTTTTATATTGTTATTTATTTTATATTGTTAATTTTATATTGTTATTTTTGTATTTTATTGTATTTTATTTTGTGTTGTGAGCCGCCCCGAGGCTTCGGCAAGGGGCGGCATAGAAATGTTTTAATAAATAAATACATACATACATCTAGCCAACTCGAAACCTTGTCATAGAATTCCACAAGGTTTGTCTGGCAGGACCTGTTCTTGCAAAAACTGTGTTGCTTGGCTCCCAACCTCCCTTCCCTATCTAGGGACTCCAGAGTGTTTCCTATTATTAGCCTTTCCATTGTCATTCCCAGAATGGACGTAAAGCTAACCGGCCTGTGGTTCCCCATGTCCCCTCTGCTACCCTTTTTAAAGATTGGGATCACTGATGCCATCCTCCAATCCTCGTGTAACCCATCAGGGCCTGGCACCTTTGTAATGTCCAGTGCCCTGAGGAGCTTCTCAACTTCTAGGGGAGTGACTCTAATCTGTGCCCCTAAATCCTCAGCTTCATCCGATCCCCCATGTGGATCTCCCCAATCCTGCTTTGGAGAGAACACAGAGGCAAAATAGTCATTTAGCATCTGTGCCTGTTCCCTCACATCAGCCACCAAATCCTCTTCCTCATTAAGCAGTCCCTCTGCCTGTCCCCTCTCCCTCTTGTTATTTACATGTTGGTAGAAGCCCTTTTGTTCCTGATAGTCTTTGCAAGTCTCAGCTCATAATCAACCTCAGGCCTGTAAAGAATCCTTCTGCAATTAGCCTCCTCCTCCTGGTATACCATTTGTCTCTTGTCCCAGTATTCATTTCCTACAGAGGTTCCTCTTATGCCTAATGCCTCTTACCTCTTAAATGCCTCTTAAATGTATTTGTATAGTTATTAATTTGTATTGGAAGCCACCCCGAGGCTTTCGCGAATGGGGCGGCATATAAGTGTTCCAAATAAATACATACATACATACCAGTTCTCTTCTCAACCACAGGGGCACTCTCCTTCACCTTCCTGCCTTGCTAACTAGTGGTATCATCAAGGCTTGCACCTCCAAGACCTCCCTTTTTAGCACCATCCACCCCTCTTCAACTCCCTTGCCTTCCAGTACCCTCTCCCAGGACACTTTCCCCAGTATGGCCTTCAACTGACCAAAGTTGCCCCTTGTGAAGTCCCAGCTTCTAATACTTGACCTGTCACTCATCCCCATTCCCCTGATCTCAAAGCAAAGGAGAGGTGATCACTCACAACCAGAGCGCCCCTAAACTGCACCCCATCTATCAGCTCCTATCTCTTGGTCAAGACCAAGTCAAGGGTACTTCCTCCCCTTGTTGCCCCCTGGACCCTCCGTGTGAAAAACTCTCTCTCTATAGTGTCTAGGAAGTGACATGACCTGGCTGCCACCACCGAGTGTGACTCCCAACTAATATCGGGGAGACTGAAATCTCCCATAATTACTGTGTCCCTCCCCTGAGTTATCCTTTGAATCTGGTCTGTCAAAGCAAGGTTGACAATAGCCTTGATGCTAAAGAGAATCCAGCCAAAAACTTCAAGCCCTCACCATATTGACATAAGGGTAAGTGGCTATGGTACTGAAGAGCAAGAGGCTAGAACGATGCATAGAAAGAACAAATAGGTAGGAGTGACATGGGGAAATAAAATAATTATTTGACCTACAGCTCTGCTTTCTGTTTCTTGAGTAGGTAGTGTAGAGGAAGAGGATTCAGTAAAGCCCTTTCACAGAACAGTATGCATGTGTCTATGCAACTCTGGGCATGCATACCCCACCCCCATATTGTACTATTCTCCTGTTTGAGATTCTGTGTGCACATGGAATATATCCAACAAGCAACTTTATATTTCCCTCCAGCTCTGTGTATCAGAAAGCACGTTAATATGTTACCTGCAAGTTTTAATTTCTAAATTTTGCAAGTCATTCATTTCCAGTGTACAAGCAAAATGAAAACTAGATTCAATAAAAGCAGTTTTCTGCATTGGAAGTTTACTCCTTATATAAGTGAATTATATAAATAAGTAGATGCAAGAGGATAAGTGGTGCTGTGCATGTAATTACAATGTTCAGGCAACTCACATCATGCTGATGCTCTTA